ATACTACATGGCAATGAGAAAGAATGAAATCTGGCCATGTGTAGCAACATGGATAGAACTTGAGGGTGTTATGCTGAGCGAAATAAGTCAGGCCGAGAAAGACAGATGCCATCTGTTTGCACATATAGGAGGATTAAGAGGAGCTTAACAGAGGACTGTGGGGGAGAAGAAGGGGGAAAATAGTGGGGGAGAGGGAGGGAGGCAAACCATAAGAGACTCTTGAATGCTGAGAACAAACTGAGGACTGATGAGGGTGGGGGGGAGGGGGAGGGAGGTGATGGGCATGGAGGAGGGCTCTTGTGGGGATGAGCACTGGGTGTTATATAGAAATCAACTTGACAGGGGCGCCTGGGTGGCTTAGTCGGTTAAGCGTCCGACTTTCGCTTGGGTCATGATCTCGCGGTTCGTGGGTTCGAGCCCCGCGTCGGGCTCTGTGCTGACTGACAGCTCGGAGCCTGGAGCCTGTTTCAGAGTCTGTGTCTCCCTCTCTCTCTGACCCTCCCCTGCTCACGTTGTCTCTCTCTCTCCTAGAAATAAATAAAAAAAGAAAATAAAAGAAAAGAAATCAACTTGACAATAAACTATTAAAAAAAGAAAAGAAAAATGTTTTTAATGTTTATTTATATTTGAAGAAGAGAGACAGAGTGTGCGTGGGGAAGGGGCAGAGAAAGAGGGACACACAGAATCCGAAGTGTGCTCCAGGCTCTGAGTTGTTAGCACAGAGCCCAATGCAGGACTTGAACTCACAAGCCATGAGATAATGACCTGAGCTGAAGTTGGACACTTAACCAACTAAGCCACCCAGGCACCTCTTAACCTTTTTTTTTTTTTTAAACATGTCTTCCCCAGACTGAATTTTTAAGTGGTCTTGTTAACTTCTATTTAACCTCAAGAGTTACAGCATTTGGACCCTCAAAAATTATTTGTTAAACTAGTACAGGAAGGAAGGAAGGAAGGAAGGAAGGAAGGAAGGAAGGAAGGAAGGCAGGCAGGCAGGCAGGCAGGCAGGCAGGCAGGCAGACAGGCAGGCAGGAACCAGCTATGAAAATCTCCTGGGCTCTCAAATGAATAAGTCTTGACAACAACTTAATGTCTGGTGATCTGAAGTGCTCTGACAGATCATCACTTGATTTAATAGCATGCTCTCATTCTGTGGCCTTTACTTCAACGGAGCCTGTCCTCAAATTTCTTGACTCCACAGACAAAAGAGCTGACCCAGGTGGCACACGTGGAGGTGTAGGCCAACTGCCAGGAGCCGTGTGGTCCTGAGGAAGTATAGCCCTTGGCCTCCAGGTTAGGAAAGGCATGTGTATCACAGACTGCTTTTCTATTTCCTGTAATACATATTGACTTAGGGGCATCGCAGTGGGCCTTTCCTGGGGCTGATGTTAATGTCACATTTAATGTGGCCAGAGGTCTTCCTAAGGACTTCATGGGGCATCTCATACTCAAGACAGTTCTGTGACACTTCACTTCTGCAAAGTCTGGTTTTGAGATGATGGAGCCCAAGAACTTCATCTTGATCTCTGAATTCAGAGGAAGTGATAAGCAGTTTGTCCAACTTCTTCAAGAAGCCTGGCTTTATGTAAAGCATGGCTAGTGGGGGATCATCTTAGCCTATGTTTCACAAGCTGAAGGGGACACCCTTGCTTTTATTGCAAGGCAGAAGGAAGTGTCTCAGTGCCCACCCACAAAGGCTATTTCAAATGTTGCTGTACTTGTCAGGTACTTAGTGACAATAGGCTTTGAGTTAGCTATTGTCAGCTTTCCCCTTGACCGAGATTCTATCCTGGCTCACAAGTGAAGGAGGCAGGTGGGAAATGACCAGACACGCAAGATGGCCTTCCATGGAGATACCCCTGCCAGAACTCAAAGGCACACAGGAAGCACCCCTAGGACACCTCCCTAGTGTACAGCTGCCAGAAGGATATTGAATGAAGGGAAAGGTTTGGAACAGCAAAGAGGGGGAGAGATTCTAGTGGGAAGAAAACATGAGCAAAGATTTAGGGATGAAAACCAGGTATGCACGGGGTCAGAGGAGGTGTCCTGGCCAAGAAGAGGTGCAACATGAGGAAGAAACCGGCTCTGGCTATGGATCGGCATGGTCAAGGCGGGTCCCCGGGAGTGTCCAGACTCAGGCTAGCCTTGGACACCCACATCTGGATGTTTCACAGGCACCTGACCTCTTAGTCCCCCTAAATCTACTCTTGCATGGATTTCTGGTTCTGGTTGGTGACACCCTTGTCCACTTTGAGGCTTATGCTAGAATCCTCTTAATTTCTTCTATCTCATTCCTGACAGCTGATCAATCATTGATTAACTTGCTGATTTTGCCTCTGAAAGCTGTCTTAAGTGCATCCCTACTGCCACTCCCCTGGTTCAGAACTCATTATCTCTTGCTTAGACCATGGCAATGACATCCTAATTGGTCTCTCAGTTTCCATGCATAGCCAATAAAGATTTGGAAGGTGAAAAATGCATGACTGCTGAGGCCGAAAGTATCATGGCCATTCCCTAGTTGGGAGAGTATGCAAGCAACTTGTCTACCATCCACTGAAAACACACGGAAGTTTGCCCCCAGAACCTACGCTGCCCAGAGGAGCAAGAATGATAAACCAGACTCGGTTCTGGATGTGATCCATCATGCATTTCCCTTGCAGTTGGGAAAGGGCATGGGGTCTGATGAGTGCCTTCTCCTAAGCTGACTCTAGCAGCAGATGTTCATCTGAGTTTCACTCATTTTCTTCTGCCTTTTTTTCTTGAGCTCTCCCTCCATGAAATTCAAGATTCAGACTCCTAACACCAAGGCAGGAGTGGCCCTGCCCATCCTGTTACTCGGACAGAGTCCCTACAAGGTGGTGGGCGGCACTACTAGGAAGGTCACCAGAAGGACACGCAGACTTCCCCCCGATAAAAGGTTGTTCTTGGAACCAGGTAAGCTCGCATCTTGGGAGAAACCTGCTTTCTTCATTGAATGAACATGCCTCCTGCAAGGTGAGGCTGGCAGCCCAGAAGGAATAAGCTGTGTTAACAACCAGATGCAATTTTGCTCTAAACTTTCTTCCCTGAGAAAATCCTTCTTGCTCTCCCCAGCAACATTCAAAATCAAATCACAAGTGCGTGCCCTTGGGCCCATCTGATCTTTAACAACCTGATTCCATCATCTCCTTCTAACCTGGAGGAGTTTAGGAAATGACTGTAACCCACAGTGGCATGGGGTCGAGTTGACTTATAATCCAGGTGCATGGGGAGCGAAATGGCATATTCATTCAGAGTAAGATGTCTGAGATGGCTTCTCTGCACGCAGAGAGAAGGAGAGGGCTGGAGGCGGTTTGCTGAGTACTGTGGGCCCTTTCCATCCATTTTTGCAGAAGCTGTCTGGAATACTGAAGTTGTGGTGTTCTCCCCAGCCCACTGCATCATTCTGGAGAAGCCTCATTCCCACAGGCCTTCCTGACAGCCTGGTGACATGATAAATGGGATATGGCCCAGAGAGGGTCCATTTCACATTCACTTCTAAAATTTGCACCTGGTCCTTTGGGCAAGAGCAGGGTGGGTGAAGGCGTGTGTGTGTGTGTGTGTGTGTGTGTGTGTGTGTGTATGTGTGCGCGCGTGTGTGTGTGTGTGCACAGCAATGTTGAGGGAGGAAAACTGCCCCAACGACAGTAGTGGAGGGGTCATCAGGAGCGGATAGCAGGCTGCACTGTGTCCAGGAGGCTCCTTTGCCTTTTGTAGAGATATACTTACCCCCAAATACAGGTCTAGTCTAAGAATAAGTTCCTTTCTAAGCTCCCTGCAGCACAGCTGAAGAATCAAATGTAAGTTGCTGAATATTCTTGGTGGGAGTAAAAAAGAAACGAAATATATGTCACCCACCTCACCCCAAGGCCCATCAACACATCCACAGGCTAGTTTACCAAGCACATGGGGCCATTATCACTGTACTGAGCACTCCACAGGCTGACTGGTAGGATTTACATTCTGGTTCCCAAGGCCTGGCCTGCCTCCACAGATACTGAGTGAAACAGCCTTTATTCAGGTAGAGCTACCTCCTAATTCTGCCTGGGTCACCTTTTAACTGGGATCTTGAGCAAGCCATTTTTCCTCTCTGGATCTCAAGTTTTCCATCTTTAGAACGGGATGAATAACAGTCTCCTCACACTGAGGATGAGAGTATTAAATCAAGGGATGCATTTGAAGAGCCTAGCAGGTGCACACAGTGCTGCTTGGTATAGCAGTTTCCTTGTGTAGCACCTCCATCAGCCTTCCTTCTTTGCTCCCAGTGGCTCCTTTCCTGTGACATCGCCCCACAGAGGCAGTGGGTCCTCTCCCTCACACTGGGACAACTTCACTTGGGTCACCTCTGCCTCCACCCTAGCTCTTCTTCTCTGGTGTGGGCAGCCCAGGCTGGCTTTATTGGCATACCACCTAAGCTGTCATATGTGTCCCATGCTTGGCATGGGCCCCTGGCTTGGTTTAAAGCTTTTCTGTTGCAGCCTTAAAATTCTTATTAGTTTGTGAACAAAGTCCCACATTTTCACTTGGACTGGGATCTGCAAATTATGTAGCTGGTCCATTGTGGAGGAAATGGACTTCTCTCCAATTGATAAGACACGACCCTTTGCATTGGTCCCTGATCAGGTGCCTCTTTCAAACCAACACAGCGGAAGGGAGCCCATGCTTCTTCAGGCTCCACAGTAGGTTCTCTTAAGTGCATTGTGTCTTTAATATCTCTTTCCCTGATGAAGAGAGGAGGCTTTGTCACTTGCCTTGCTCACAGCCACATAGTTGGTAAATGGTGGGATCCGGTCAGGTGTGCCTGGTGCCAGACCTATGCCATCTGACCTTTTAATCATAATAAGTAAACTTAATAATCATCCAGGAGGTACATATGCCAATGCGGTTGGCAGGGGCTAATTCTTTCATAATATAAGCTATGATTTGTATATATCATTTCAAAGCAATTAAATTAAAAAAAATCCTCACAGGGAAAAACCCACCACATAATTTCTGAAGGGATCTCTCAGAGTAGGTCTCCCGGTCGCAGCCCTTGCCGATGTAATTGGTCTGTAGCTCCGTGGTGATCTGGATGGAGGACACGGCCCCATCGCACGTCTCCAGGTGGATGCTGGGGAAAAGCGGCACACTCCCCGAGCCAGGCTGATACTCAATCCTCTTGGTCCAGTCTGAATAAACAAGGAACAGATTAAAGTCAATCGGGTATGGCCAGTTCTGCCGGAACATTTGTTTTTGAAAATGTGAATTTGTTCCAACGCAGTTGACATATCAGGTGATGATTTGAGGATACTGGGAATTTCATATTTGCTTACGCAAACTTTTCTACCTGAGAAACACTAGGCAAATGCAGAAAGTGGCAGCCAGCCGAGCCAGGCAGGGCAGGAATGTGCAAAACACGCATGTGGACACACTTCAAACACCTCTTAGTGCCGCAGTCCACTGTGTGTTATGAGTCACAGTCACCTGCACCGGCAGTTACAACTTTCCATTCCATCCAGACAGCCTTGTGTTGGCCCCTTCACAGTATAGCCCTAGCTGCCGCCCTTCCCGTCCTCTCTACAAACACCAGGTGTCTTCAAGAGAAAGTGCCATATTTTTTGTAGTACTTGCATATTTCTGAACCCTTTAACATGTGTAAAACTGTGCTAATATTTTTTTTCTTCCTGTCCTTTTTATGTGTCACTGATGACAGTTTTGAGTGTTATGTCTCTCACTCCATGTTCCCTATTTTGTCTGGTGGGGTGATATTTAGGAATGCGTATGTCTTTGTCACAAAACAAGAGAGCACAGTAGTTCAGGATTACTTGGGGTCATGAGGTGAGGAGCAAGGATTCTTTCCCAAGCATTCAGGACCATGGCTCACTTAGGGAGGGCTGATGGTCTTATGACTTTGTTTTAGTGGAAAGGTAATTTGGAGATGATAAAGTTTTGGAGAGGGACAAAACCACAATCAAAATGGCGCCACAGAAAATAGAGCAGTCAATGAAAATAAACACCAAGAGAGAGAGTGTACACATGAATTGACCGGAACAACAATAGCAGCAATTGAAAGTCAGAGCAGATTCCAGGCAAAGCTCACAGTGACTGATAACAGTGGTTGCTGACAACGGTGAGTGTACCGCGCTCTGTGAGGATGCATGTCTGAGAGGTTTGTGCAACCCTAAGCCAGACTTGAGGGTAGAATCAAGGAATGTGACCTGTGGATACTATTGGTTTATGAATTCCAAATGTTTGTCACATAAAACTTTGCTAGAAGGTATCCTTTTCCTGAAGCAGAAATAAAAAGCTATGAAATTGCCTGCTCTCACCTGTGAGAAACTGAGAAAGCCGGGCATTAATGGGTCAGTATTCTTCACAAGCGCCCAGTGGGCCACTGGCTGCCATCTTGAGGAATTCCGGGGGGCGGAGGGCAGATCCCCTTGTTCACTGAGCAACCATTTGTTCAGGGTTGCCACATCTTAGGCTCTGTTTGGAGCATCAAGGATGCAGCAGTGAAGGAGTCAGGAAAGGTCCCTGCCTTGTGGAGCTGGGGTGGGGGGAGGCCCGTGCTGTCCTATCTGAGAGGGTGAGTGTATAAAAGGAAAAGCTGTGACAGGGAGAGCCTCTTTAGTTGGAGAGAGTCCTGTCTGAGCCAAGGTCTGAATGTCAAGGATGAATGTATGTGGGAAGACTCAGAGAAGCAGCTTTGAAGCAGATGCCCCAGTGATCTCAGCTTGACTCTGCCTGGTCAGAAAGTTCTGGGACAGGTTAATGAAAGTCTCCAAGCCTCAGGCACCTCATCAATAAAATAGAGCACAGTCACTGCATGGACCTAAAGTGCGGACTTGGAGTGAGGACTGAGGTCCTCAGGTGTGCGTGGCATGCAGGTAAGGAAGGAGGTGTTCAGTCCAAAGGGACCAGTGTCCCCTGCATTTCATTCCAGATAACCATGGAATCTGGGTTTAGGTCTGAAGCCACTCTTTCAGGGATTTTCTGAGTGTGCCATGAGTAGAGACTGCACACACGGTTGTGAGGTTGGTCTCCAGGAACTTACCGTGGGAGGATATTTGGATGGAAGTGACTACACGTGAAAGAGAATGTACCTAATTGCAGGCTTCTCCTCATAGCCCCCAGGAGCTGTGTCTGGACTAGCCCATCACCTTCTGTAGGATGAGATCATGGAGTTGTTCTGAGCCGCGCTCCAGAGGCCCCAAGTTCAATTAAGATGAGCCACTGAGGACAGGAGGACATGTCCTGTCAGGTGCATCTGAAGGTCACATAGCTGTAAGAAGCAGCCCACACCTGACTAGCCTCGTGTCTTAGGTACAATGCTTCATGCCTCTGTGCCCCCGATCTTGCTGTTTCTTCTGTACAGAGGTTTCTTTCTGTCCCCTTCTGTCCTGTTAACTCCATGCAACCTTTCTGAAGTTCTCTAGTGTGGGTAGATCCACTCCTCTACTCCACAGCACCCTCAGCCTTCAACATAGCATTAGACTCCAAGCTTCATAGTTCCTCTGAATGCCCCTCATGCTCTGTGCCCAGTGACTGGCACAGAGTAGACGTTCACTCAATATTGGTAGAAAGTGTGAATGAATCCTACAGGATTCAGTTGTGTGCTTACCTCCCTCAGCACTTGGCAGTTCCTTAAAGGCAGGGATTGTGATGTTTGTTTCTGATCCCTCTCCACTGAAGTCACAGTGGATCTGGGGAGCCTCAGACACCTCACCTTGACTGCTGCCATGGCAGCCTTTCTTGAGCCACAGAAAGAACTTGTAGCCTATTTGCACCTTCTCCAGTTGGCCCTATTGGCTCCTGTTGGCCCCGACCTTCAGTCCTGAAGAACCACCCAGCATGACAGCAGCCCGTAACATGTTGGGTTCGTTTTGTTCTCAGCCAGGCAGCTGGTCTAGAACTGATGACAGAGGGGTCTGCCTCCCGATAACGAGGAATGGCATCAAGGAGGAGACCCTTTGCCTTTCCCTGCCTCACCCTTCTTTCCTTGGATCCTCCCTTTCTTTAGAGATGCAGCTAGAAAGATGGAGAACGTGGTTTTGGATAGTGGGCCATGGTGTGAGCCTCATGGACCAGTTCTTGATGTTCTGCTACTTCTGCTGGTGTAAGCCCCTCCCACATCGCCTCCTTCTGGAAGCCTCTTCATTGGAGAAGCCCAAGACATCCGTGGTATTGATTCCTTTTACTCTGTGGGGGCTGCAGGTATCTACATATTTTGGTGGTTACCTTTAATGAGACATTCTACCTCAAGTCCTTTTTAGAAGGAGTGAAAATAAAGAAGCAAATAAAGAATGAAGGGAAGGTAAGTGGAGGCACAGGCCGAGTAGGGGGTTTATTCCTCTCCCCACCCCCTGGCAGGGGTGAAATTTCCTCTGCAGAAAGAAATCAGGTATGAAAGAGTGTTGGGAACATCACATCTGCAGCAGCTTTGGTGACCTCATGAGGCTTGCTTTTGAGGGTTTACGAGGAGCAGGCAAAATTGCAACCACAGTAAAAGAAATCAATGAAGTTTTCTGAGCATAGTGTCCTTGAGAGAGTGGGACGCTCAACAAACATCTTTCATTTTCCAAGAAGGAATTGAGGATGAGGATTGAGAGAGCAAAAGTCAAGTCATCAAATTCAGCCTCTGTCACATGAAATGTCTATTCATCCTCCTTTCCTGGATGGTTAAGACTATGACCTCCAAATTCGGTGTGCCTGAGTTCAAACCCTACCCCTACTACTTCCTGCAAAACATTTATCCTTTCTGAGCCTCAGTGTCCTCTTACATAAAAGTGGTGCCTACTACCCAGGATTTAGGAGGGATTAAATGCAGACTCGTTTTAGCACCAAACACAAGGGTTTTATTCAGTAGATATATTATTGTTAAATTATCATTTATTCAGTAGCACTTATTGTAGGAAATAGAAGGACAATTACTAAGTACCTACAAGGTGCTAAGCACTTCTACATGTATTCTTTTGTTTGGTTCTCCCAGCAACCCAGTGATTATTATCTTCATTGTGCAGATGAGAAAGCCATGGTTGACAGCTGGCATGGCTTGCCCAAGGCCATGCAGCTCTTTTGCATAGCTCTGCCATGATTCTGAGGATTTGCCAGGATGGAGAACAAGTGTAATTTTTACAGATTCATTTTTGAATGTTCAATTTATACTGATATATATATATATATCTGTATCTATATAAAGTGATGTATATTATATATATAATTTATACATTATATAAAGTGAGACTCTCCGATGTAGGCAAAAAATCAAGGAGTGTTGTCAGTTTCATCACTGCTTGACCTTGAGGGCAGCTTGTGGGGGCAGAGAAGTTGCTTTGACCTTGAGGACTGAAGAGGATAGCACTTGAATTTCATCTTCCCTAAATGTGGGTCATGTGACCTCTTAAAGTTGAGCAAGTCATCTCTGAGCCTCCACTGCCTTACCTGAAGATTCCAGTTAGTTACACCTCCTCATGGGCTTGTTATGAGCATTTAAGGCTAAAGGTCCAGCACAGTTGAAGCCCTTAGCCTTAAATTGTGAGTTGGAGACTCACAATAGAAATGTGTCACTCTCCAACAGACACATGAAACAATGCTCAGCATCCCTCCTCATCAGGGAAATACAAATCAAAACCACACTGAGGTACCACCTCACACCAGTCAGAGTGGCTAAAATGAGCAAATCAGAGGACTCTAGATGCTGGTGAGGATGTGGAGAAATGGGCCCCCTCCTACGCTGTTGGTGGGAATGTAAATTGTTACAGCTCCTCTGGAAAACGGTGTGGAGGTTCCTCAAAAAATTACCACTAGAACTCCCCTATGACCCAGAAATAGCACTGCTAGGAATTTACCCAAGGGATACAGGAGTGCTGATGTATAGGGGCACATGGACCTCAATGTTCATAGCAGCACTCTCAACAATAGCCAAAACATGGAAAGAGCCTAAGGGTCCATCAGCTGACGAATGGATCAAGATGTGGTTTATGTTTACAATGGAATACTACATGGCAATAAGAAAGAATGAAATCTGGCCACGTGTAGCAACATGGATGGACCTTGAGGGTGTTATGCTGAGTGAAATAAGTCAGGCAGAGAAGGACAGCTACCATCTGTTTGCACATATAGGAGGATTAGGAGGAACTTAACAGAGGACCGTGGGGGAGAAGAAGGGGAAAAGTAGTGGGGGAGAGGG